CACATAACTGATAAGTTATTCATCCCAATTGCTCCATTCCAACCAGTTGTATAAATGGATAACAACATCACTAATCCCTGTGGTAGACGAGTGTCCTGTTCAGAGGAGGGAAGTTTCTCCAGGTAGCAACTGCAGGAAAAAAGCACCAGATTATATTATGATTCCAATATTAGTAGAGGAAATGCATATTTTAATACAATTTACTGATTTAAATTCTGTCACATGAAACGTTTACATGTAAGCAGGGGATATTATATCTAAAATTAAGATATCAAAATATACCTTTCAAATAATATACATTAAATTGATTACTATGGCTTTGACATTAATGAAAGCCTTTAAGGTGATGACTTATGTGGAGAAACTATGATTGCAATAGCTTGAGGCAAACCCTGTCGTATTGTGTAAATATATGAGTAAGCAGTCAAGTGGAGTTTTGGCACTGACTCGCCTTGAAGAATGACAGGTAAAATAAGCCAAGGTGCTGCTGTAAAGACAAAGCTGGGGAGGAGAGAAGAATGTAAAGAAATAGACATATTAATAATCCTTACACTTATATAGCAGTTTTTTTGACACTCCACTCAAAGCACTTTACAGGTAGTGTGCAGCATTCACCTGGATGATGCGACGGCAGCCATAGTGCGCCAGAACACTCACCACACATCAGCTACCAGTGGGGACGAGAACTGAGTGATGAAGCCAATTCATAGATGGGGATTATTAGGAGGCCATGATTGGCCAAGGTGAAATTTGGCCAGGACACTGGGATTAACACCCCAACTCTTTTTGAGAAATGCCCTAGGATTTTTAATGACCACGAAGAGTCAGGGCCTCAGTTTTACATCTCATCGGTAGGATTGAGCTTTTTGTTTTACAGTATAGTGTTTCCATTACCAAACTGGAGCATTAGGACCCACACAGACCGCAGGGTTGGCACTCATTGCTGTTTCCACTAACACCTGTTCCAGTAGCAATCTTACCTTTCCCAGGAGGTCTCCCATCCAGGTACTGCCCACCTACAGTAGCTGCTTAGTTTCAGTTGGTTGCCACCCTATGAGTTGCAGGGTGATATAGCTGTGTGCATACATAAATATTTACAGTACATAAATGCAGGTTACTGTATGTAGAGTATACCGTATATATCTACTTTTTTGGGTGAGGCTGAGAGCTTGTTTTTCACTTTTAAACGTTCGTTCATAGAACTGCAAAAACATAATATTCTTGTATCTTCACACTGAAATTACACTATTACACATGTGAAATGTTGAGAGGAGAGCACAGGTGCTGCCATCCCAGCGTCAATAGATTTGTGCATGTACTGTCATTCAAAGTCTTTTCAAAGTCAGTAGAAATCAAAGTATATGCGCTTTTTTTCATCTCTACTGTAATGTTTCCATCTATTTAAATTATAATTTAATAAATCCTAACTTTAGTGTTCGCTGTTGTAAAAATCATCAATAATGGAACTTAAATCTTAAAGGAGCATGCTCTTCATTTTCGAAGTGTACTATGCTTCATATAGGATCATATTAATTTGGGTTATGAGTCACTCCCACTAATGAGGTAATAAATCTCATATTGACCATATACTATCCTAGCCACACACAGAAGGGACTCCAAAACATGCTGGGTTGAAATATCTACCAGTGCACCAACTAATTAAACCAAACAAAACTCAAGGGTTTAGTCTTAAAATGAGGACATTCATATAATCAGGGATGTCATAATCAGTGGAACAGATACTGAATAACTGTTGTGAGTAGGGAAAAGGGAGTCATGCCTGCAGTGTAAAGCTGCATTGAGCTGTGCATTGAAAATCCGTTTAATTCAAAATCATTTGATTTTAGTGAAGTCTAAATTAAAAATTGAGACTCCCCATGGATCAAGGAAGGTACAATGTCAGCAGGGCTTTTCATTCTTGGTACAGTAACTCCCCAGATCTTCATCCCTTCATTCTCTTGTCACGCTTGATGAATCTGACATATTGGCACTATAATTACAGTCCTGTTTTAGACTGTATTATTTGTAAATTTAACACAAATGAACATGAAAAGAGAAAGATTATAAACCACTTTGAACTGAATTACACATTATTCATGTTCTTCTTATACTTCTTAGTAGCATTTGGTACAGGCAGAGTTAATGACTGTTTAACATGAACAGAGCATATACAATCTCTGGCAGGTTTCAGAAACCCCCAGTAGCCAACACAACCCCTCACAGACATTTTAAAGGCTTTATCTCACTCTGTTAGACAGTTAGACAGCTGGCCTCTGTTTGCCTTTGTAGAAGACATGTATGAAAATGAATAGGTACATTCAAGCAATCACTAAATGTTTAAACAGAGTTATAAGAAGGTAAAGGTCAGTGTTTTTCTATCGTGACCCCTTTCCCTGCAGCAGTAGATAAGGTGAAAGCACTTACTGTACTCGGGTCAAATAGATTAATGCTGAGTGTTTGTGGTTGTGCAAATGCTATGCAAGTTATTGATATGTTACCCAACTCACCGGTTGAGAGGAAATGCCAAATAGACGGTGTGCAGGAATATACTGTAGTTCAATTATATTCGACCAGCACAACTTAGAGTGACCAGCAAACACACAAACAATATAATTGAGATAATTATACTTCATTATGATGACACTTGATTGACAGAACATGATAGCTCCTGTATTAGTGTTCTGGGAACAGACGTCCTTCAACAAAAGATTATTTTAATTTGGTAAATTAATATAATCCAGATTATAACTGGCATTTACCATTACCATTTAGTATTTACTATAGTATTAAAGCATAGTTTTTGTTTAGCTCCTGATAAATACTGTATGTGATTCATTAATTAAATAAAATAATTAATATCAGGTGAAACTGACATTCACAATAACTTTTTTTTATTTCTTTCCAACACATGATAAGGTTTAGTCTCTAACCAATCGAGGACTAATGGGTATGAAAGAAACAATTCACTTGGTTTCTCTGTGTTCTTCAGAAGCTTGAAGGTTAACACCCACTGGCCATTACAATTGATTGGACTGTTAAAGTGCTCTGAAATCGCCACATGGTAAAATAAAATTCTGTTCCCTCAGTAAAGGGAACAATGAAAAGATACTGTATAGTGCATACTGTATATACTGTACAGCACAATGACTGATCTGCTGTAGTTTTATTCACTGTAAGATGCAAATACAGTAATGAAAGGGCAATAGGTTAGTAGGCCAATTCACAAGCTGACACTGTGAAAATAGTTTACATTTTGGCTTCAGAATGTGTTCCATTATTGCTTTAAATATCTGACTATCATTATAGGTATGATATGAAAAAGAATGCATGTAGTGTTTTAATATTTAACAACATGGTAAAATCATGAGATTCTTGGAGCAGTCCCTCTAAATCTTTTTTCTTTTGATTTATTTGGAAAATACTGTCACCAGCTTACTTCTTATACCCCCCAGCATGTGTTGTTTTCCTTGCAAAACCTGTCAAACTGCTGAAAACAGGCAAATCCCTTTTTAAATTACTGAAGATGTTCCACCCTGCAGTTAAATGTCTTGACAATTTCAGAACGTACATTATACAGTACTTGGATTTAAAAAAAAAATGTTGTTTGCAAAATGTCGTGCTTCAAAAATAAGTCAGTTACATTTATTTAGTGCCATGGCCTTTGGTACCTATGTTACTGTTTGCATACATAGGCATTTTTTATTTGTTCCTGTTTAAACAAATCTGTGACACTAACTGCAATCACATGTCAAAGTCCTGTTCTTGCAACATTTTGAAAAGCCACAGAAACTCAGGGTGAACTGGAAATCACAAGGTTGCTAAAATGAATATTTAGCTGTCATTTAGATCAGTATACAGTAGTTCTGGCTTACTCTTGGTGAAACCTTTGAGAAGCTTTTCTTGCGTGTACAGTACCTGCTGACAGGTTTTGGCTTACTTACTGTATACAGAATTGTCTTTTTCTTACAGAGAAAAGCATTTTGTAGACAGTCATTCTCATTGTTATGACTATAGCTGTAATAGTATGACCTATTAAAATACACATCTACAGCAGAACTGACCACACTATTCTGAATATACAGTAGATTGTGGGAAGCTCATAATCAATTAAACACATAAATAGAGTTGGTAACATACAGTAGCTTTATTTTAGATTTTATTTGAGTAATTACTGGTTTATTTCATTGGGAAATCTAAAATCGTTTTGAAATGCTTTGTAAGGATACAGTAAGTAGACTTAAGATCACATGCACAGCAATTAATTTATAAATGACAATTACATTCATGAAGATATTTACAAATGTGGAACACTGTTCATAAAATAACTTTTTGGGGGATTTTGTGCCATTGGTATTGAAAGGGAACTCTGTCATTTGTGTAGAACCAATGCTATGAAAAAGTACATCATGAATATACAGTATAATAAAGTATCGGTTTGAACTATAAAACTGTTAGATGTGGAGAGTCAATCAAATGGTTTCTTATCTGTCTTGTTAGTTTTGCGCTTATCTTGTTTTTGTTTCTCTTTTTATTGCCTATTATTATTTAATTTGCACCGACCTATTTTGATTAAAAAATACAATTTTACTAAACAGTACCTTATCTTACCTTATACTGTAGCTCATATGCCTAGTCTTTTTTTATATGAACTTTGTGCTATCTTTTAACTTTCTATTATTCTTTCCTCAAATCATTGCTTTCTTTTTTTTACATGCCTTTATTTTTGCCTACCTGTTTCTTTCCTCTACTGCTTCTTCTATACCCTTCTATTCCTTTTTTAAACTTTTTTCCTCATTGCCTCTTACAAATGCTTCTCCTTTGTTTTTTTGTCTTCTCACTTCTTTTTATCGTCTCTCTCTCCCCCACCTCCACCCCCCCCC